CTTCCTATATTTTCCATGTCATGCTTCACTATTCCTAGATCTGTTTGTAAGGATATTGCAGCTATTTGTGCTAAATTCTGGTGGAAGAGTGGTGGTGAAACTACTTCTGGCATTCACTGGAAGAAGTGGTCCTTAGTCACTTTGCCTAAAATGATGGGAGGTCTGGGATTTCATGACTTGAAGCTATTTAATGATGCCTTAATCCTTAAGCAACTATGGAGGATTGTATCTCATCCTAATCTCCTTGTCAGCAAGCTTCTTAAGAGCAAGTATTTTCCCAAAGGCTGCATTTTTCAAGCTAAGGTCAATCAAAGTGCCTCATGGCTGTGGACTACATGGATGTCTGTGAGAGATAGATACAAGCAGCACTTCCAAATTCAAATTGGAGATGGCCTTACTACACAGATATGGAATGATCCTTGGACAGACTCTTCTCTCCTCACCAACTTGCAGAGCACTAACCACCAGTTTGCTGACTTGAAGTGGGTTTGGGAGCTGATGGATAATGAAGGCAGGCACTGGAATATCCCCCTCCTCAGAGGCCTATTTAATGAAGCAGACTGTGCCAAAATCCTAAAAATCAAAAGCCTCAATCCTCATATGAAAGATAGGTGGATCTGGAACAATGATGCCAAAGGTGACTTTACTGTTGCCAAAACTTATTCTAAAATTGTTTCTGAAAAATTCAAGAAGCTGGATGTTGCAGAAAGTAGTCAGTCAGCTCAAGCCCTGAGATTGATTAGATCGAGAACATAGAAGCTCAAAGTTAAACACAAGCTTAAGCACTTCCTATGGAGGTGTTTTTCAGAAGCTCTTCCTGTCAAAGATTTGCTGAGAAAGAGAGGACTCTTTGTGGATGGCATTTGTCAATCATGTGGGGAAAGCTTGGAAACTATTGAACACATTTTCTTCCATTGCAAGAAAGCCAAGGACGTCTGTAAAGCTTCTCCAATTCACTGGGATATTGCTGTCGGCTCTTCAGCTAAATTCAAACATTGGTGGCATGATGTCTGCTCTGTCAAAAAAGTGGAGGTTTGTGAAGCTAGAATCGAGCTATCCACTTATATTTTGTGGTGGCTCTGGAAAAGCTGAAATTTGTGGCTGTTTAAGAAAGAATGGATTCCTCCTCTGTCTATAGTTAAAAATGCTCTGAATGATTGACAAGATTTCAGCAAGAAAGATGCAAAGGACAGAAGCTTCAAGAGGCTGTAGCTTTAAAGAAGAAGTGGGTCTAGGTTCGTTGAGTTCAGTGGGCGCTTCTTTTGTTGCTGTTATGGCTTGTTTCTGACTTTGTGGCTTTTTTATATTTGTCTAGTATTGTGTTTTATTGTGGTTCTGATGGTTATCTTGAAGTTCTAATGTAGTTTTAAGGGTTACAGTTTGTTTTCTGGCCTTAGAATGTATATTAGGCTTCTCAGTTGTGTTGATGTAGTTTGTTTTGGTTCTAGATCATCTTAGGTTGGATGTATCTCTCGCTTTAGGGCCAGTTGGTCCTCGGTTTGTATTCATGTACATGCAGTTATATATATATATATATTTCCTATTGTTTGAAAAAAAAAATAATAATTTAGGTTCGGACATTCCATAAATATTATTTAGCTAACTTAGGTACTTTAATATCACTTTTACTAATATAACCCTTTAATTCTTTGTAATTTTATATAGTGAGACACTAAGTGACTAATATATCTCTGACTTTTGATTTGTTTTTTTCAATTAGCTATTGAATTGTAAATTTATTTTAAAAGTTGATAACTTTTGTATTTCATATCGGTTTTTACATATATGATATATCAAATTAATCATCTTTTGATGATCTTCGATTTGACATCCATATTGTATATATATGAAATAAATAAATTATATTTATCTTTATATAATAAAAAATAACAATATTTATTAAAAATCATTAAAAAAAATAAAATTATTTATCAATTGATATATTTATGTTTAATGTAATTATATGTTGTAAGTTAAACAAATTATTATAATATAACACAGGTAAGTCGCACAAATAAAAAAATATCATACTAAATATATAATATTATATATATATATTTATAAAAGGTATTGAAATTATCAATTAATTTTTCTCATTAATTTTATATTAAAAAAAATTAACAAGCACCCGTGTAATACACGGGCGTTGTACTAGTTTTTCAATATATATAGATAGATATAGATTATGATGTGTAATAAAAAAACAGTTGGGCGGTTTTTTAGCCATTTTTTGAAGTGAAAAATGAAATATGGCCACTTTTTGTAAAACAATGAAATCTAGCCATTTTAGCACTTAAAAGTACAATTCTACC